TATCGGCTGAAGATGACGCCTTCAATGAGAAGGTTTCAGCAGATCGAATAATTGTCGAGAATTTTTTTGGCCGTGCTTGTGGGTTGTGGGCGGTTTTGTCAGCTAAGTTTAGGTGGGGGGAGAAGCTTTATGACGCAATATTTCGGCTCTGTGTTGCTCTTAGGAATGCACACATCATGTGCAATCCTTTGCGAAGGGACGATGCTGACACCTATCATAGGTCTCGTAATCGGTTGTATTCCATCGGGGATGCCACGGTGAACAAGCGAAAGGGCGTGCAGGAGCGTTATCGACAATGCCGTAGACAGAGACTGGTAATAACGTTCCGACGGCAAGCTGTGGATGGGGAGGAAACGGAAGACGAATAAATTCGGCAGCTGACATCAATCTGATGAAACGTGCAGTGTTTGGGCATTTACCCCATGTTTGCGTAAGATCCTTGTCTTCTCCATGAAAGGTTGGACCAAATTTTATTTTTTAATCTTTTGTGGTGTCTACAGTAACTGTGGAACTATCCTGATCGTTGGGCACTTAGTCCATCGTTTTTCAATTACTTCGTATTTGCCAAAGAGACCTCATGTTTTGCAAGATGTTAATGCCGAGGGCAAATACGTTAAAGAAATGGTGTCCGAACTGACGTTTTTAAGTTTCGATTTAATTTATATATTTTTTTGCAAAAAAACTGGCCTCATATGAGGTCAAATCGCTTGTCGTCTAGACACTAGGGCTGGCCGCAGTTGAAAAAAAGTGTCCGCATCATCCAGGATAATTGAAATACTGTATGAGTTAATTTTTAAAAACAAGTTTGAAATTATTAAAATGAGCAATTGCCCTGTCGCTACAGAACATACAAGATTGCCTCACAAGACTTTGGGGGCAGAAATCCTACGCAATCCGCCGGATGCGGAACGTGCGGACAACCCGGCCCTCGAACCGGTCCGTCACATCCTCTACAAGCGGCGCAATGTTCTTCTGAGGCCGAGTCGGCTTGTCTAAGCTCAAGTCCAGCGGAGGCGTGAACTCGCGCCCGTCATCCACCCCAGTGTCGTATGCAATCAGCGTTCCCCTATCCGAACGTATGAACCGGTTCTTCTCCGTGTCGAACAGGTTCCTGTTGTTGATCTGCACAATCCAGTCCGGCGACGGAGCGATCATGCCGATCACGGTGAGGAACGGATGACGGCAGTTCACTCTGACGAAGAGCGAGGTGGAGTTCCCGGGAAGCGTCGGTGCCCCGTAAGTAGACGGAAAGCCATTTCGTGCTAAAATGTCTCTTACAGTTGAAAGTAATCAATGTT